ACGTGTGAACAATTAAAAGTTTTGGCGGAAAATTGCTCGCTGAATAGCTAGGTTACTTTCAAAGAAGTGCCGTTAAATGGAAATTGTTTATTTACTTTACGCAAAATTTATGGTAATATACCCTAGTGAGCGTAAAAGATAAGTGCAGAGCAGCAACATTTAAGCAGCCAGTGACCTGAATACTTCAAGTCTGGTGTAAAAACGCATGGTCACATCGGAAAGCCTGGTGCGTTTCTGATTGTATACTTCGATTCGGTTCGTAGTGTGGTATCCATGAAATTTGGACTCACTCGTACGCCACCTCGCATTCTTTAGGTTCTTGCAGACATTACCAACTGCCCAAAGGTCCGAGTCCCATCAGCCATAGTTAACAGAAAGTTGAGGGATGGACGAGCAGCACCCTTTCGTTGCAAGGATGGAATGGGCACGGCTCAGTAGTGATCCAGCAGGCGAAGAAACCATTTGAGAGCAGGTGTCATTGGTTGGTTTTTCGCATCCCGACAACTGCCCTCTCTCTGCTCACATTACGTTCCGTCCAGAACTTGTCTGTGTCTGTCTGGATGGTATGTGCATATATATGTGCTTGTACGTCTGCGCGTATAGGTGTGTATTTATGTGCATGTGTATATGTGTGTGTGGGTGCATTTGTGTACGCCAGTTAGTTCTGCAGGTTTCCTGTAAATCGTTTACACCAGCAGCACCTGTTGCGTCTTTTTCGTGTTATATGTAACTGTGTACGTTTGTGGTGAATAATGTTATCAAATGCTTCCATGCTGAACACAGAATGTGCCTATTAACCTGTAGTATGGGGAGCGACAGCAGTCTTTCACCTGTCCCATTTAAAAGCTTTTCACGAGGATTATCAGTGACCGACTAACAAGATCCTTAGACAAACAGCAACAGAGGGAGCAAGATGGATTCTGAGTGCTGTGTCACAGCTCACTGAACTGCTGCCGAAACCCAGGCTGGAGCGCACCAGGCGGGCCAGTGCGATCATGCGTTTTTGCACTTTTCGTGCTGTTGCAAGATCGCAAGGAATCACAGTAGCTAGGCCTGTGACATATGGCCCTCGAAGTTCGGGAAGTTAATTGTGCAACTATGTGGCATGTCACTTGTAGATGTCGGCTTCAGCGACCCGACAAATAGAAAGTTGCTGGTGCGCGAAAAAGACCCCACTAGAAAAGCTGAATATGAAATCTCTTAGTCGCACATGAATAGGGAACATTCCCTTAAAATTAAAGCCTTCCAGCTTTTCTCGTTCCCGAGTTAGCAGTTTTTCCGAAAAATTTTTCACGTTAGTCTCGGACGGTTCTAGGAAGATGAATTTGAAATCTTTTGATCATACATGAATAGGAAATTCTCTAAATTTTCGGCTTTCTGGCTTCTCTCGTTCCCGAGTTAGCAATTTTCCCACTAAAACTTTCACGTGTTCGTACGCGGGCCCCGGGCTGTTCTAAACAGCTGATTTTGGTCGTACATAAGTAGGGAACATTTTCCTAAAGCTTCAGCTTTCTGGATTTTCTCATTCCCGAGATAGTGGTTTTCCCACCAAAATTTCCACGTGCCCGTATGTGAGTGCTGGGAAGTCCTAGGCAGCTGAATTTGAAATCTTTTAGTCGTACTTGGATAGCGAACATCCCCCTAAAGTTTAAGCTTTTTAGATTTTTTCGAGCTAGCAGTTTTTCCGCCAAGATTTTTACA